TACTACTTTTTCCCTCTCCCAGAGTGAAATGAATATCTCTCAGTTTTATTTTCTTAATTCTTACCCTTGAGGTCTTGTCATGTACATTTAAATGACAGCATCTAGTTGTATTAGCTCACTTTCCATGGCTTTAAACAAATTACATGAGTCTAGGTGTTTTATACAAAGTGATTTATTTAGCTTGTGCTTTGGGACTTAAAATCTAGGACTGGGTGGTCAAATTGATGTGACCTCTGTTAGCCTCAAGGTAGTGCCAGGAGCATGCCCAGAAGAGATCACATGGTAAGACAGGAAAAGATGAGGATCAGAGTTTACTCTCTGCAGAACAATTACCTGTCTGGGTGTGCTGACGTCTGCCTGTGGCCCTAGACTGGGAGGAGGTAGCAGGGGGAGTAGAAGTTCAAGGTCAAGCTTGGTGTGACAGCACACGTCCATAATCACAACACTCAGGAGGCCAGGCAGGCAAGTCTCTGAGTTCACAACCACCCTGGTCTACACATCGATCTCCAGGACAGCCAGGGCTACACAGAAAAACTGTCTCAAAAAACAAACAAATGATCAAAAATGGGGGAAAAAGAAAGAAAAGAAAAGGCCAGCCTGACCCCATAGTGAGTTTGCGCTCAGCCAGGGCTATGTGAGACAATGACAAAACAAAATAATCCACTCTCTTGGGAATCATTTGGGCCCACGGATGCCACATGAATCTCTGTCAAGGCCAGGTCTCCAAGTTACCTTCCACTAGCCCTTTCTGCCAGTGTCAGCCACACTTAAATCCTACACAAACCACAGCACTAATATCAATGTCTCAACAACCCACAAGGGCTGCTGACCGGTGCAGCACTCTTTCCTCTCTTGACTGCCACGCTATTCTCTGGGGTTTCAGATCCATCTGTCTCTAACATCACAAATGAAGACACTATTTCACACACGTGAATGTAAGGGACCGTGTTAACCCAGTGTCCTGTGCTCACCCTTCCTTCTTGTGTCTCAGCGTGATCTCCTGGAATCCCTTTCCTTGTTGAAATACGCTCTTCCTGAAATGTCGTAGATTGCTCTCAGCTTTTATTGACATTTAAATGTTAGAAGGAAAGGATTTTCCTTTGGGTCTTAGTTCATGAAAGGGCTGTTGGCTGCAGGCAATTCTAGCTAACATTTCCTTGTTTGTGGGTCAGTCTTTGTAGTCTCCCAGCCTAGGGTGGCTAAGCAGAAGCTTACATAGCGTTCTGTCTATCCTGTCCTTTCTCAGTGACTGCTCTCCTCACTTCTCCAGATGTGTAAAACACGACTTCATTTTCACGCGTGCTACTTGAGACGCGCCGCACTCCCTGGTTCTGTGGGTCTGTTTCTCGTCGCTTCTAGAAAACCTGTAACTACTGCGTCTGTCTCATTCCTTCTAGTTTCCTCTTCCGGATTCCACTGCGAGATTTTCTGATTCTGCTCTCTGGGCCTGTGCCACTCTTCCCGTATTTCATGCCAAGGCTCTGTCACCGTGTAAACAGTTCCCAGCTCACACCTTCATTCCCCTGTGGATTGTCTGTTAAATTTTAGATTTTAGAATTAGCCGGGTGGTGGTGGCACACGCCTTTAATCTTAGCACTCGAGAGGCAGAGGCAGGCAGACCTCTGTGAGTTCGAGGCTAGTCTGGTCTACAAGAGCTAGTTCCGGGACAGATTTCAAAGCCACAGAGACACCAGTCTTGAAAATAAAATAAATAAATAAATAAATAAATAAAACAAAAAAGTAAAAAAGAATTTTTTTGTTTTTTGTTTTGTTTTGTTTTTTTGAGACAGTTTTTGTTGCTCCTCTCCCTTTCCCTCTTTTTTTTCCCCCTCCCCCCCCCCCCACATTTTTACTTGTCTTACTTATGTGCACTTCCTGTCATTGAAGCTTTTATGTCTTTAAGCATCTCCCATGGCCTCTCAGTATTCCATTGCTCTTCCTTTCCCTTCTGTGGCCTGCCCCTCACGGTGACTCACCTCTAGTGATTTAGGAAGATAAATTTGAAAGCTTTTTTATTTGATATTACTCACAGATAAAATCCTCCTGACATAACCTAGGAATGTTTTCCTCCAGGTTGAGACCATCACCAATCTCTTACAGAGGTTTTCCCAACCCGAAACTACCCCAGCTCCTGGGAGCTTAATTTCAGAGGAGACTCACCTTCCCAACCTCCCTACCCCTAGGTTCCCCAAAGTTCACTACCACCAGGTGGGAAAAATGCTTTAAGAAACCCTGTCCCTTGGGGCTGGAGAGATGGTTCAGAGGTTATGAGCGCTGACTGTTCTTCCAGAGGACCCCAGTTCAATTTCCAGCACCCACATGACAACTCACAACTGTCTGTACCTCCAGTTCCAGGGAATCCAATACCCTCGCACAGATATACATGCAGGCAAAACACCAATGCACATAATATACAAACAATAAATTATTAAAAGAAGGAAGGAAGGAAAGAGAAAGAAAGAAAGAAAGAAAGAAAGAAAGAGAGAGAGAGAGAAGGAGGGGGAGGGAGGGGGAGGGAGAGGAGGGAGGGAGGAAAGAAAGAAAGAAAGAAAGAAAGAAAGAAAGAAAGAAAGAAAGAA